AAAATATTCATCTTGCTTAAACTATGCCAATAACAAAAACAACAATGTATATTTATTTTTAGAATCATCAGATTAAATTCTTATACTAAGTAGAAGCATGTAGACAAAAAGATTAATTTCCTTTTTCAATAACTTATCTATTCATTTAGAAATAAATCAGTAAAAAAGGCAATGTTCAATTCATTGATAATCTACATGTCGAAATTGAGTATGATTCTAAGCGTAAATAACAAGAACTAAGATTTATTAATAACATATGCACTCTATTAGAAAAAGACATGCTTGTTTTTATCATAGATACCGAATCTTTTATTAGATTTTGAAATAATATATTAAATTAAAGTTAAATAGTTATTTGTTTTCCATGTAACTTCTCAGGATAATAGACTATCTTGATTATGAGCTAACTCATAAGAACAATTTCACAAAGCGTAATAGAAGATCATGAATTTTAGTAGTTAAAAACTCAATTTTTGAGTAAAATATCATTTTTTTGAAAAATTTATATTCTTGGTTTTTTCTTAGCAAACATTTAGTTTTCTGATATGTATTTGCTAAAGATACCTGTTTGAATACTTTTTCAAAAACTCTTAGTTTTCTAGGTAAATGTTTGCAAAAAAAAACTAGCCCGAAATAGAAGATCACCTTTGAAGGATCGATATGAATATTCATAAAAGAAGATTATGACCTTTCATTCTGAGGTTTTAGTTAATATGAAATTGATTTTAAATTTTATTCTTTTAGTTATTTATCAGATCTGTAACATTTTATGAGTTATTACCATACAGATGAAAATATAATATTCAATAGTCTTGAATATTTACATTGTTTTATTCAACGAAAAAAAATTATTGTCCATACATGTCGAATTTTAGTTTTTTTCTTTCTCGATTTTTTTTCTTTCTTTCATCTATTGATACATTTATAGCTAGCGAAAGGAAATATTTACTAAATTAAACATTTTTTTACATAAAGAAAGAAAAGGAAAGTGATGATAAGTTATTTCGCTCTATAATGACAATTTTGACAGCACTAGTTTTATGACATTTTTTCGGTATTTTTTTTATTTGTGATTGTATCAAATATTTTTTATATGCATATAATAACTTATTTGAAAAGAAACATTCATGCATAAAAAAAAACGAAAGTTATAATAGAATCGTGATCAATTATTCAGAAAAAGGTATACATACATACAGGCATACAATATGATTTTATAGAAACAATGTAAGTATAAAAAATATTTATGTCAAAATAACTTTTCTTTGTACGTTGAAATTTTATAGTAACTAAGAATTTTTAAAAAAATCATTCTATGATAATACATAGAATTACTATCATACTTAATATGATAAAGTAAATTTCTAGTGAATTTAATTATATTATATTTTTTTTATTAATTTATTTGGTTCATTACTTCCGGTGAAGCTATAGAAAAAAAGTATAAACCGTTAGGCATAACGATATATTAAACTTAGATAAGAATACGCCTGTGTCAATTCACTATATTACGTAAAATAGCTGGACATATGTAATAATAATTTCATTATTAAGTTTTCTTATGAAGAGTCAATTATATTATATTTATCTGGGAACATTGTTGTTATCTTAGTTACAATGCAATCTCTGTGTATACGACTGAGTAATAACGTATTTCCGCTATGACTGCATGAACCGGAATTATAAAAATTCCGATTCAGTCAATTATAGACATATGCTGATGTCACAGCTTGTATTTAGTACATAATCTTCAACATATACTTAAAGGTTAAGGAGTCTAGTCATGTTATAGAAAAGAAAAAAAGGAAATGGTTATGTTTCTTTTTCATTTTATTTATTTGAAATCTTGTCAGAAATCATATGAAAACATGTGGTGTCCTTTATATTGTTCTCTATTATTGAAAATCGATTAAAATTTTTCATTCAATCAATTGATTAGTTTGCATCTAACTTTAAATATTTACAAACTAAATTTAAAAAATTAAATTTTCTTGTTTTATATTTCTATTGTTATTTTAAAATTAAATTTCTAGATTTTAGTTACTAATATAGTACGTAAATATTTTTAAGTAAATATTCAAAAAATGATATTAATTCTAAAATAGAATTTTTTATCAAAATCAAATATTAGTTTAATTATATTTTCTTTTATCAAATTTTCAATAAATCAACATATAGACATAAATAAATGATTATTAGATTGTATAAATTTGAGAGAAAACATATCAAGTAAAAGTTGAATCTATTCATATTAAGCTCATTATATTTGTAAATCTCAAAATGATTGAAAGAATATCAATTGATCATTTCTTGTTATTATTTGAATTGTAGACTGACGGTATGCTTGTATGTATACATCATTTAAATCAATATTCAATATGTCTTCATGAAAATCGATGTTCAAAAACAATCAATTGACGTTTTCCACTGGTAATAATTCTAAATAAATATTTTCGCTGTTGGTGATTTTAATAACGACAACAGAAACGATTTTTATCATAAACAAATACGCATTTTATCTAACTTAAATATGATAATGAGGTTTTACTACTAAAATTACGATTTTTAGTAACAATAATTCTAATTCATTCATTTTAACCATGGTTGATCTCAACAACGACATATTGACTAATTATTACTATGACTAAATCTGGTATATGACTTCGATATAGGAATGGGACATTTACTAGATTAATGATCTATGGTATTGGCATGTAATCTTTCTCTTGACTCATTAGTCATTCGTATTTTTAACGATGACATTGTAAATAAGAAACTCGTGTTTTTATTTATATGTGCGCAATATTTAATATATTTTATTTTGTTTGAATATGAAAAACAATAGAGAATTCATCAGTCAATTACAAATACTTTAAGCAATGATTTCAGTCTATTGTCGATTATTGTTATTAATTTCAATAACAATATTTACTTGACTATGATTATTCATAAAACTCTTAAAATTTCAATCGATATTGTTGTAATGTTTAAAGATTCTAAAACTATGCAAAATTTTTACTATTTTAATGTTATAATAAAACTTTTAGTAAATAAATTGATTTCAACAACACACGAATCAATAATGAAGTTCAATAATATTGTATTATAGTTAACTAAGGTATAGTTAGTGTAAATATTTACTTAATAATGTATTTCTCATATAATTCATAAGATGAGATTCTGTAGGTCTTATATTCTATTAATATGCCAATGAAGCTCATATAAAAGGACAATTGAAAGTTTAACATTGTATTTTTATATAGTAGGCATCTATTCTATTTATTACGAAACCATTTCATATGATGCAGATTCGAATTAAAAATTATCTTTAATTGTATATCATGAATAATTAGAGTTTCTTAAGGACAGACTTTTGTGAAACACAATTTAACAGTAGTGCTGAAGTATAGAAGTGGAAATTTGAATCCTCGACAGACACTTTAATAATACTCTTCTCCCTGCGTCATAAGTTATGACAGACGTTGTATATCAATAAGGTGTTACTTACTGCATTTTGTGGAGGATCAAGTAGAAGGATGATGAAGAAATGTGTTCCAATATGGATAGAATAAAACGCTCCATGAGATTAACAACAACAGCTACATCATGTTTCATATTTTCAACCCATTGAGTTTGCACTAATAGGTTTTTTTTTAATAAGACATAGCTGAAATATAACGCTTTAATATTAATAAATGTTCGTATTTCTTCTACTGATAAGAAGAGGTGAGTCCAAAGTTTCTAGGTGAAATATTTGAATATGTTTTTATGTCTTTAAATTCATTGGAAAAGAGTGAGATGTAATGTATTAGAATCAGAATATATGTTTAAAATTTTTCTGTGACTATTGAGCTATAAGTAAATCTTGATAGGACTTGAGAGAATGTTCTGGAAAGACAAAAATCTTATTTTTTCAAAGAGAATTCGTCTTCCTATAGATATCAAATAAGTTCTGTAAATATATAGTACTTGAAAATTATCTCTATTCTTCAAGATGATGCAATAATGGAGAGTTTTGGTTAATCAACTCAAAAATGGCAGAGTTGTGACGGAGAATTGTTTTGCACTAGAAAAGTGGAAATAAAAAAAAAGCCATTTTTCTTGCGATAGACTTTATTGCGCGTCAACAATTTGCAAAAAATTTTTATTCAAATATACCGTTTGGTAGCGAACTATTTTCTGTATCTTTCAATATATTCGATAAAATTTCCTAGCATATCTCGAAGAAGTTCCATTTGAGGTTTTTCCCTCCAGAAAAAATTTTTAAACATTTTCAAGATTCACTTTCAACAATCAAACGCGTCAGAAAAAGTCTAACCATAATGGGTGATTGGAAAGTTTTGACAAGATGTTTGCTCACTTTTGGTCTGCTGAAAAGCATTTTAGACAACCCAAAAGCTATAGGTCACAATCAGAATTTGGACATGGGATTAGAAATATTGTGTCTATTTTTGTTCAAGAGTAGTGTAGAAATTTCTATAAAGACCTGAAAATTAGTTTTTAATGATAAGCCGACAGATTTTTGCTTATTCTATAAGTCCGGTTTCGCATACGTTAAAAATTATCAGAGTCGGTCGTTTTGTAGAGCGGGAACTTCTCTACAAAATGTGATATTGATTTAACGAGGGAATCTCTTCAGCTGTCCCTTTCCGATTTCAATCGTTTTTTTCCTATAGATACTACATGATGTTCTAGTAAAAATTCGAAAAGAATTTGAGTTTTTTATTGTGATTTCTTTCATTTCACCTCTTATTTCATAGACAACACGAATCTTTGATTTGTTCTTATTGTTTGTATCATATTCATTGTAAAAGAATATTGAAAAAATATTTATAAAGAAAAATTTTGATTTGTTTATTTCAATTGCAAAAAATGAAAAAACAATTTTCTTTAAATGAAATAATCTGCGTAAATATTTTAAATATATTAAGTGCATCATATTAAAACAAACAATAAACAAATGCTTGAATAAAAAAAGTATAGATAAAAGTAAAAAGCATTTAATCATCATCAATATTCATTCTTTGTCGTCGAACAAGTTCATGATAAATTCCATTTTCAATTGTCATTAATTCATCATGTGTACCTTGTTCAATTAAATGACCTTTATGTATAACAAATATTTTATCACATCGTTCTATTGTACTTAATCGATGTGCTGATATAAGAACAGTTCGAGGTTCTTGGCTGTCTCTTTTATAAAATAATGAATCTTGAATCTATTCAAAAAAACCAAAAAAAAATATTTAAAAATCATTTATAAAAAAAAAAATAGCTACTAATCGTTCATTGACAGGATCTAATGCTGATGTTGCTTCATCTAAAAGAAGTATAGTTGGCTTTCGAATAATAGCTCGAGCAATTGATACACGTTGTTTTTGACCACCTATGATCAATAGACAAACAAAAAAAGTTGAAAATAAAAAAAAAAAAAACAACTAATTTAAAATAATTCAAACCTGATAAATGACCACCACGTTGTCCACATTTAGTATTATAACCATTAATAAGTTCATTAATAAATCCATGTGCATTAACTTGTTGTGCTGCTTGAATTATTGTTGTTTCATCATAATTATCTTTAGCATAAGTAATATTTTCTTGAATAGATCTATTAAATAAAATTGGTTCTTGTCCAACCATAGCTATTTTTTTATGAAGATATTTATGATCATATTCATGAATTTCTCGACCATCAATTAAAATTTTTCCATGAGTAGGATCATAAAAACGTTCAAGTAAATTAATACATGTTGATTTTCCTAATAATAATAAAAGAATGAAATATATATCATTCAAAAATGAAAAAATTTTGATTACCAGAACCAGATGGTCCAACAAAAGCACATGTTTGACCTGATTTTATTTTAAATGACATATTCTTATAAAACAAAAAGAAAAAGGATGTGTTTTTATTTTTTTAAATAAAAATTAATCAATAATACTTGAATAGCAATTTCATCCGGTCTTGCTGGATAAACAAGTGAAACATTATCAAATTCAATATCACCTTGTAATTCATGTGGTTGTATAATACCACTTGGTTTTTGCATTGGTTTACGATCTAAATAATCAAAAACTGAATAACTTGCACCAGCTGCTGACATAAGTGATGTATAAATCTGCGAAATATCCTAAAAACAAATATTTCATAATAATAATAATCTTTCTTTTATTTTTATTTTCAAATTATATATATTTACACTTAATATTCCTCCAAGTGTTAATTCATAAATAATAAATGCTAATAAATCAGGTCCCGTTATATAATTATCACGTACAAGTTTTGCACCATAAGCAAGCATAACAATACTCATACAAAGTTGTGCTAACTAATGAAAATGAAAATAAAAATAATAATTTATCATAAAAATTATATTTATAATAATTTCACAATATCATTCGACTGATGAGGGAAGTCTTCCAACTGATTAATTGTTTTTGGATCGGAACTATGTGCATCATGTAGATCCTAATGAGCAATGAAATGAATATCCTGAAAAGAGTTCGGACCCTTAGATCATTGTATTTTTGTAGCATTTTTTCAATCAATGGCGTAGCCCATCTCAGGAAAACTGATTTCCGAATTTCGATTTGAACACTTTGTATAGAGATAGACGTAAACGAGAAATAAGTCAAAACTCTAAAATCAGTTTTCCTAGTGTTCCTAAAATGGACTACGGCATTCATTTAAAAACTACCATAAATTTGAAGTATCTACACAATAATAAGCTAAGAGTTCGAAGCCTTTTTTTTCAGAGTATTCAAGACTCATTTGGGTCTACACAATGTGCATATTCCCAACTCAAAAGCAACTAATCAATTGAGGGACACCCCTCGTGAGTATTTTGTGGATTTATCCTGGCTATTCTACATCTTGAAGTCAGAAGTTAAATTTTTGTTGAAACTATTCTATAGAATAAAGTGTTCGTAATCTAACTACGATGTTTCGTTGTCAGGTATTATAGAATTAAAAATCAAATTCGAACAAATGACTTTTACGTTTTTAAAAAGATTTCTCGTTTTTTCTAAAGAAAAGCATATTTTTCAAAGGTGAAGATAACAGAAATTTTCGGAAAAAAAATCGAGGTACCAAATAAAAAGTTCTATCGTATTTTTCGATCTAAAATATATTCGATTAGATAAGTTTGTAAATCATAGAATGATGACTTACTTCAACAAACCATTTTTGTGCTGAAGTTAAAATAGCTTGTATCCATGAAACTTGATATGATTGTTGAAGAGTATTTTCAAATCTTTTTAATTCTTCATTTTCATTTCCAAAACTTCGAACTGTTCGTATTGTTTGAATTGTTTCTTCAGCTATTTCAAATGCTTCAGCTGATAAATCTTGAACTTTTTCTGATATACGTCTATGTGCATTACCACTTATTTTAGCAACAATTAATATAAGAGGAGCACCAATAAGACAAGCTATTGTTAAATGAAGACTTAATTTAATCATCATGATTAATGTACCAACTAGAGAAAGAAAAAAAAAAGAAAAAATAAATAATTTAATTTAATTTTTTCTATTTTAAACTTACTAAATCTAACAAATGCACCAATACATTGTGCTATATTATTAGCAACTGTTGAACTCATTACTTGTGTATCATGATTAAGACGTGAAAGTAATTTTCCACTTTCATGTGTATCAAAAAAACCAATTTCTTGTTGTAAATATGATTGAAATAATTTTGTTCGTAAACGTATACTAAGACGTGAAATACATAGAGAAAAAATTCCCATACGAAATCCACCAAGAAAACCACTGAAATATAAAACAAAAAAAAAAGAATTCTTGATTTTTTTTTAATCTATTTATTAGATTTTTATTTATACCCAGCAAAATTTACTACAATAAACATAATTAAATTATATTGAAATTGTGACCATGCTTCTTTAAATGCAACACTTGATAAAAGTCTTCCGGTATATAATGGTACGAAAACTTCAGCTAAAAAAAATAAGAACATCAGTTGGTTTTTTTTATCAAATAAATAAATATTGAATAGTATACGTGCATAAAGCTGCGCCTAATAAAAATATTGTTCCAAATGTAATTATTTTCCAATCAGATAGACTATATCGAAAAAGACGTTTAAGTACAAGAAGTTCATCTTTACGTTTTGATTGAAGATCTATACAAAAACAACATACAATAGTTAATTAAATTTTTGAGTTTATCATCTTGAAAAGAATATTGAACTTCATATATATATATATATATATACATATTGTTTAAAGCATGCAATCTTTTATTTCAATAAAAATGTAAACAAAAAATAAAATTCTTTCTTCAAAGAAAGCAATTGATCAATACTTCGATTGAGTAGTTATAAATTATACATTGTAGCAGCCTCAAATTGAATCTAATCAGATATTAAAATAGAAGGATTTTTATTTTTAGCATAAGATAAAACATATATTCTCAATTGAAAGGATAGTATCTTCAAGATCTTTTCGCCAACAAATGAAAATTAATTTCTTGTCTCTCTTTCTCATATCTTACATTCACATTTTCATAATGTCTATACAACTATGTTATTCGATTTCGATAATTTTATTTTCCATCAAGTTCGAAAAAATTTATTTTACAATATGTCGAAACGAAATCTAGTAAATATTTAAACTCTTTTTTTTATCTTATTTGAATTAGTACAGAGTTCGTGACAAATGTCAAATTGTTATTAAATCTCTGATTAAAAGACTGAGAAGTGTTATTTCACTGATAATAGTATTTTCTCGATTACGGTGTGCAGCGACTATTCGTTCCATCTCCATAAAATACTCTTACGACCATCCTGACTCCTTGAACAATCTTAGAAGAATTCGAACTCTTAGTTAACTGCTGTGGACATACGATTTTTTAAAAAATGAATGGCGTGGTTCCCCTCAGGAACACTAAAACAAACTGGTTTTAGAATTTCAGCTTCAAACTTTGCACAGAAGTAGGTCTTAATGAAAATAATTTATTATGAAACTTTCAGATATTGTGATTTGCTCATATCATGAAATCAAATTTCACTGTGTTCATGGACGATATGAAAGGAGTGCTTTTACTATCGTCGTATCTTAGGATAGGCGCGATGAAAAGATCTGAAACTTTCTCAATAAACTATCTTCATTAAGGTCTGTCTCTCTGTAAAGTTTCAATTCGGAATTCTAAAATCAATTTTTCTGGTGTCCCTGAGGAGAACCACGATATTTATCTTAAAAAAGTACTTTATATCCGTAGCAATTAACTGAGTATTCGAATTTTTCTCATATTATTCATAGCTCAATAAAATCTATATGATGCACATAGTCTCAATTCAAAAGTGATTTTATCAACTAAAAAACTTCGTTCAAAAATAATATCCTTTCTTCCTTATTCTAGCTTCTGTATTTGTAAAACTTTATTTCTATTTCTTAAAACATAAGGATAATTTTCTTTACGTTTTTTTTTTATCGTACTCTTTCTAACTTTATAAATTCCTTTGATTTTCATTTCTCTTTTAAAACATATGAAAATAATTCATATCATTATCACAATTTAAAATAAAAATAAAAAATTTTATTCATGCATATGCACATTCATCTAATAACACTTACATTTAAATGATCGATGTTAGTTTTATTTTAGATTAAGCTGTAAAACAAAAAAGGCACATTAGGTATTTAACATTTTCCCTTGATAAAAACTTATACAAAGAATTTTCAAAAAAATACAATACTAACCACGATCATTTGTCGAATCAAATACCTCAAACCAAATATATTGTAAAACACTAAAATCTTCTTTTTCTATACGTCGAATCCATAGATAAACAAAAAGTGGCATTGATACTTGTTCAATTATATATAATATTGATTGAAGATCATATGAAAATTTTATATAATACATAATAAATGCTTGTTCTATAGCTGCAATAATGACAAATATATTTTTAAATGGACTCCAAAATGTTTTTGTTGTATTATAATCAATATTTTTATCATAGTTATCATAAATAATTCGATAAAAAAATGCAATAAATATTCCTAGTATGCGAATAAATGCTAAGAAAATAAGTACATTTTTTGATGAACTTAAATATAAATCAATTAACATTGTTAATATAAGTCCCAAGACAATAAAATATATTCTACGAGTTATTTCCATCTAAAAAAACAACGCTCTATTATTATTATTATTATTTTAAGAAATTAAATAGAAAAAAAAAAGATTATTAATGAAAAAATTGCGATACACGTAAACGTAGATGCATGGCATTTAGTATCGAACTTAACCCATTACGTTCAACAGGTTTACCTAAACCTATAAACCAAATAGAAATTGATATACCAATAAGACAAAAAAGATTTTTTAAAATAATAAATATTGTTAATAAATAACCATTTAATAATGAATTATTATTAAATGAAAATAATATAAAAATAAGTATAAATACTCCAAGAGCAAAAAATATTCGATCACGTTGTATACGTTGAATTGATTCTTCAACAATAATACAAGCTGAACGAAGATTATTTCGTGTTTCATCATCCATTATATCAATATCATCAAGTGGTATTGGCTTTTTTTCTGGAATGTTTTCATCTATTTCAAATAAAGCATAAACAGCTAAATGATCCGAATAATAAAGTCCATTAGGATTATTTGGAACTTTATGTAATGTTGGATAAGCTTCAATACATTTAACATTATCTAGAATTTCAAAAAATAAAATAGAATTAGATAACATTCGAGTTTTTTCTCAACCGAGAAATGCAATGCGAAACTATGAATCTCGATTGTGGAAAAAATCGATATCTCATAAATTACTCTGATTCATTATTTATTATCAGTTGTATTCATAGTTGTCTTAGATATGAGTAAAAACAAGTATGAACCAAGATTTGTTGTTGTTACCATTTTCATACAGTCGAAACTTGAAAAACAATAAAGTAGACAAAAATTTGTTTTTTTCTCGGGTAACTTTACCTAAGAAAATGTAACGTTATGTTAAAGATTGGAAAACAACATATATGCTAAACTTGAAACTTGAATTCAATTGAAGTTTCAAGTTTCAACGTTTAGCATACATATTAAACCTGAAAGTTAAATTCAACTATTCAATAATTCTATAAAGGTGAAGTGGCCTTCAAAGAGCCACGACCCATACGCATCTCCGTGTACATAGCAATCGAAGTGTGTCGTGTTTGGGCCATGTTAGCTATATCTTTTCCGAAGTTATTTAACCATGCAACCCGTTCGCTTACACATGTTACCTTGCCGTTATCACTCAAACATCTCAGGTGCTTCCTGTATCGTTCCAGATAATACCTGTATGATTCCAGGTAGTACCTGTAGCACTCCAGATAACATCTGTAGCATTCCAGATAATACCTGTAGCATTTCGGAATATTTGTAGCGTTATAGGACCTCAATTGAATTCAAGTTTCAAGTTTTATGCTACTGGAAAACGAATGGTATAGATTCGGTCTTTGCATTTTCAAGATCATCGCGACCGAAAACAATAACTTTAGAAGCGCACGTCTATGAAGTAAAAACGAAAACTCGCCAAGCACTGTATAAATTTGGTGCGAAATGATCTCAAATTTCGGCCATAGAGTTTGAATGAACATGAGAATGGTAAACAGTTTCACATAGAGTCGATCGTGTCCTGTCGAAGGTTTTCACTATAGCTCCTGCTTACAACAGTTGGCTAGAGATTAGCTCACCACTTTTGATTATCTCAAGTAAAAGATGAAGGCCAAATCGCCGTTTTGTGAAACTTACTGAAGATTGAAGAATGTTTGTATTATCTCTAGACTTCGATCTGTCTATAATAAAGTTCGAACAATTTTCTAGCAACTCAACCGTCGTGACACGAAGTACAGATTTTGTTACAGCAGAAAAGCACGCAAAGTATGAAGACCGAACGCGTACGCGACTGATTACATAATTGATGTATTTCGCACTGCATTTAGAATTGAAAAATCATAACTAACCATTTCGTGCTCGATAAAGAATATAATCAATACGTTCACCTTGACCTTGATATGGATGTGGATGAATATATGGATTATCAAGTAAATCACATGTTTGACCATCGTTACCAACAGTTGGATCAAAAATATCCTAGAAAATAAATATTTATATTTATATAAAATTTTTTTTTTCTTTATTTACTTTATTAATACGTTGAAGAAATGAATCATTTAATTGAAGAATACCGTTAATAAGTTTAAAACCTAAATCATCATTTGTTAAATTAAGATCACCTAAAAGTATTGTTAAATGAGTTGTATCAGCGGATGATGTACTTTCAATAAATTGTATTAATTCATATGCTTGACATATTCGATGTCCTAAATAAATATCTTTTGGTATAACATGATGATAATTAGCATGTAAATGTGTATTGTATACATTAATAACATATCCATTAACAAGAATTTTACATAGACCAATTAATTTACCACAAAACCAATCACCATGTTGAATTTTATGTGGAAAACCTAAAATAAATTTTGAAATATAAAAAAAACCAAATTCATCGAGATTGTATATTATTTTAAAGCTATAATTTAAATTATCAGTACTTGAATTATCAGCATTTAATTACAAAGTGATCAGTTTATTATATATAATCAGCAGTAAATTATTCAAATTTGTCTAATTACAAATATAGATTTTAAAAGCAGAATTTTTTTATTGGTATAAAACAGGATATAGATATGGGTTTGAATAAGTTTTCATTTTATTCACACCCACACTCTCAAATACTTGCTCTATATTAAGGTCCACAATGCTTGGCTTTATCGCACCTAGTGTGCTGCATCATGATTAACTATTTTCGAATTCTAAGTTCTCAGTTTTCTTTGTTGTACATGCTTAGAATTCAAAAACAGTCAACCACGATGCAATACAATAGTTGCATCTGTAAGAAACTGTTCTTCAATTTTCTGTATAATTCGTAGAATATCTTGACCATTTATTTCCAATTGATGCTTCTATTTCATCTGCCCAGCGTTTGGATTTCTTTTTTTGGCGAAGCCTTGCATTTTCATTGATTTCGTCATTTCCTTCCATCATCTCTTCATATGATGCATCACTTTCATATCGAGCAACTTGTATCACGTCCATCTTTCTTACTCGTGGGCTCTAAGTTGAAGTCGGAGGAAAGAGTAGAAACAAAATAATATCTATATCTATGTCGTACATAACATCTGCACTGTATGATACAAGAAAAGAAGAAAAAGAAAGTGAATCACACAATTTAATCCTTTGATTTAATTTACTGACCAAATATTTTGTTCTCTTATTTTAATAAAGTGATCGTCTAGGAGATGAGATTTGTTTTTCTCGTTGGTCATTAAAAGCTATTTGAATTTTCGATTAATAATGGATTGACTAGAAAATTTATTAAGCATAATTGCAATACACTCTTGACATATATATATATATACATATAGGAAACGAAATTTAATCAATAATAGATAATTCAATATAAACGATGTCACTTTTTCGAAATAATTCAAAAGATAATTGCAGTATAGATTATTTCCTGTGATCTTTCTTTCTTTTTTTAGAAAAAGGAAATCGTGAGATGATCATCTTTCACGATCTAAAATTAAACAAAAAAATGAATAAAGCTATAAGATATCAAAATACACTTAAATTTTAATTAATAGCTTCGAATGAAAAAAAGAACAAGAAAATAGCATACTCAATATGTCTTTATATATTTTATGATATTCCAAAGAGGGAATAGGTGTACTGATATTTTGAGTGCATGCAACAATAAACACTCTTCGCAAAGGACTAACCTGCCCTCCATCGATTCATAGGTATTGAAGTTATGATTCACACTTTGTTTTTCCTTGTGAAAAAGCATATTCACCGGAAATATGCACTCAAAAGGTTTCCATTTGTTATTTCACAAACTGTTACTGTTTGTTTTTTTAGTGGTAAAGGCAATCTCATATATTATCAAAGCTTATGGCGCATAGTCAACAGCTTGGTAATTAACATGCCTTGAAATAGTAATGCCATGTCATAGCGCTAAAGAAGACAATATTTCAGTTATTTTAAAATGATTTCTAACGAAATTCAGACGAGACATAGTTCCGATAGTGATCTTTCGAATGAAAAATTTTGACGAAAATATTTGTGCTAACATGACTAAGATCTGATGATCACAAGAGGATGATTGATATCTGAGCCATAACTTCAGTACATGTGAATCAATGAAGAACAAGTTAATCCTTGCGATCAGAATTTATTACCGCACGCATATTCTCAAAATATTAGTTCAATATTATAAACAACAGTAGTACTTTTTGGCAAGAGGGAGATACTTTTATCTAGAACTGTACATACCATTTAATGTATAACGATGTTCATAAGCACCAATAATTGGATATTTTGAAAAAAGACAACATCCTGAACCAACAAGACCACTTAAAAAATAATAACTATATGGATATATAGATTTTAATTGATCACGTAAATAAATATAATCTACTTTACTCCAAACCTATATATAATAAGAAAAATAAATTCAATTTCTTAATTTCAGATTCTTTTTTTACTTCTTGTAATCCAACAATATCATAATTCGTATCAGGATTTATTAAATGTTCAATTAATGCTTGAATACGTTGATGAATCAATTTCGAAACATAATGAACACCCCAAATATTAAGTGTAAGAATACGTAATTGCATATTTAGTATTCTTTCTTGTTGGCTTCTTTTTTTTTTCTAAAATATGAAAAACGAAACAAACAGATTTTTTTTATGGTTGACTGATTTTTCTTATTATGCTCGTAAATTACATAACCTTCAAATATGTACTTTATGACTCTTTTGAGCTCGATTTATTGAAATCAAAAAAAAAAAATGGACAAACATAAAAGAACAACAAGAAAAAAAATAATAATAATAAATGTTGTTGTTTTTTTTTTAACTAGAATTGTTACCAGTTGTTGATTTATCACCACTTCCTTTTTCTGTTTTTTTATCAACACTTGGTGTTGTTGTTGTTGTTGTTGAATTTATATTTGTTGTTGTATTATCAGCTTTTTCAGCATCAGAATTTTGAATTTTATTCATAATTAAATTATGTAATGCAATTATTGAACGAATTAATGATGATAAATAAACAAGTAACAT